GTAAAACAGAGTCTTATGGTTTAGGGTATACTGGAACAAAGATCGATACTTTTGATATAAAACATGAACCTATAATTGGTTGGGATTTTGGAGAAATAACCATGTTAACTTAGTAAAAGTGCAAGATTAAAGGACTCAAGATCTTTTAAAGTGAAACCCTTATGACTTTTAGGTATTATAAGATTACTCCAACTAACTAGGTAGTATCCATATTGTTGGGTGTCCACATATCCCCATCAAAAATTGTGAACGATTTGAATTAATTTATGAAGAATAATATCAAAAGTTTAAATAGAGACATAATATATATTGGTTGAGATAGTAATATGGCCTTCGTTAAAATTATCCTTATTGTATATGACAAAGAGGTTATTTTATAGGTTTATAACTTAGCCCTTAGTTTTTCTAAACGAAAATAGAAAAGTTTTGTTGATTTCCTATCTGGACTAGTGAGATCCCTAGATGGCTCCTCTTTTTATGTATACCAGTCATATAGGATAAATTATCATTGAGTACAATAAGTGATATTACAGCAAAAAAAATATATAACTTCTTATAGTTAATTATTTGTTCCTACCACAAATAGTATGTCTTTAGCAATTAAATAAAGTGTTTGATATTGGAATCATTAGCCATTTAAATAGCACGAGGTCATCTACATAGAGTATATGAGAAACAAATAGGGCTTCCTTGTTGAGTCGAAGCCCCTAAATATATTGGTGATGCTCAGCAACTTGGAGCCTTAGAGGTAACACATCTGTGCATAGTATAAAGAGATATGAAGAGAATGGATCTCTTGCCTTAATCCTTGTTGAGGTAAATTACCTTTAGTATGGAGTTCATTAATGAGAATTTGATTTGAGACCGCCGAATAATACTGTGAGAAAAGTTGAATGACTTTTAGGGGAAACAAAGAAGAGTTAGTACTAGGTTTAGAAAAACCTGTTCAATTCTATAGGTCTTGCTCATATCATATTTAATCGAAAATCATCGATTTTTTCCTTTTCATTGAATGAAAGAGCTCCTACGTGACAATAATATTCTCTTATATACATCAATTAAGGATAAAAATTTATTAATAAGAGGAAATAATATGATCTAAATGTGGTTTAAATCAATTAGCAAGAATTTTGGCAATAATTTATAGCTAACATTACATAAAAAGGTGAGTCTATAATGTCAAAACTTCTCTAATGTGGATGTTTTTTGGATTAAGGTGATAGTGTTATGGTTAAATTCTTTTACTAGGTAACCAAGGTGAAGAAAATTCCTAAATATATGCTATGAGATCTTTCCAAATTAGGATTTGTCGAAGAAAGAGGATATATCATTGCATCCAAGAGTTTTGTTTGGTCATATAGTCTTGAGGGCACTGAGTACTTCTAATTCATCTAGAATAATAATGATAGCTTTATTAATGGAAAAATTGATTAAATTTAGGTATAATAAAGATAGGGGAGAAGAAAAAGTGGGTATAAAAATAATGAATATGGTAGTGAATGTGTTTTGGATAGTCTGCTATGACACTAGGGTCAATGATTCTAGTGCCTTGTTCAGTAAAGATGAAGTAGACGAGATTTTTCTTTCGCTAAATAGTCACTCTAAGATGGAAATAGGAAGTGTTTCTATTCTCATTATTTAATCTATTTATCCTTAGCTCTTTATTGCAAATAGAGTTTGTTTTGCTTTAAAGGAGTTTGTAATCTAGATTGAATGGAGGTTTTTATACGAACATTATCAACGGTTGGTAAAAGTTATTGGATTTCATCTAAAACAACTGTAGTGTGGGCTATAGAAGCTTAGAGAGTACCTAAATAATTAGAATAATGTTCCTTAAAAGAACACCTTGTAAGTTTAAGTTTTTGGCAAAATTATTGACTTTAGAGTTTAAAAATATTGATTACAAACCTTAAAGATAATTGGTGTACAGGTTGGGTCTTCAATTCATGCATTTTCAAATCTAAAAGTCTCTTTTTTGTGATGACATATAGAAACTCTATCTTATTGTTAATGAGAATAAGAGAGTAATATAAAAATGTAGTAAGGGGATGTGTGACAATGGTTCTAGGGAGCATGGCCTAAGTAGAGTAAATTTGACACTCTGTACAAGGGCTTATAAGGCTTTTACTATAGAGGCTTGGGCAAGGCCTTTGGAGTTGATGACTAGAAGCTTTATGAAAAAGTAAAGGTTGATAGGCTTACGCTAAAGCCTTTTTTTGAGCATTAAAGACTACAACTATAATAACTACATAAGAGGTAGAGAGAGTAAATTTAAGTCGTGAGGTCAAAGATGAGACTAACTATTTAGTAAAAATTTTAGAGCGTGGAGGACGTTTTGATAAGAAGATACAACTTGAGTGAATAAGTGGTAGAGTAAAGGTATAAACAAACTTATAAGGAAGGGACAAAATCTAATGATTACTAAGCATGAGACTCTTGTATGTCTTGTGCTCCTTAGAGATAATGAAGGGGTCTTATTGGATGTATGGGCTACTAGGTTGGACGCAGTAGATGAAATTAAAGGCCCCAGTTATAGTAGATGAGGACAAAGAATTAAGAGGTCTAGTGGCTTAATTTGTTTGATGTGATTTTAAGTTTGAATGGGGTATGGAGTTA